CATGGTCTAAAGCATAAGTCCAAATTAGCCAATCAATCTCCCCCTTTTGTTCCCCTACCTACTGGCCAAAATAACCCCACAAAACCAGCCCACATCTCTGAATTCATCCCACCAAAAGGACATGAATAAATGGCTATTATTCTTAACATGTAGAAGAGGAATTTGCTTGGTAGTTTCTTTGTAGTTACATTCAATGTATTGTGTATTTCTTCCCCCTTCCCCTGCCTATATAATCAGGCCCTATTGCCATTGTAAACACATCTTTGAATATTGAAAACCTTTTACTCTTTGAGTATTCATAAAATAGTGTGATGCTATTTTAGCCAAATTCCTAATTCTATATCTTAAGAGTGGTTATCTTAAGTGTGAGTTTTAGGTTCTAGTTATTTGATTGAGTGTGTAATATCTTGATTAAATACTAGAGTTTAACCCCAAGTTAATCTAGAGGTGAGCTTATCCTTTAGTATTAATTTGGCTCCAAATTAAGATAAGAGTGTGTTTATCTCTTATTCCTTATTTGGAATTTATCCCATCCTTTCTAAACCCTTCATTCATCCCTGATTTTCCACTCTTCTTCATAATATCAAAACCCAAAAAGAACTCCTTCACATTACCATATTTTCATCCAGCCCATTTCCCCTTCATTATTCCACAGTTCCATCTCCAAAAATAACAACTTGATAAGACCCCCGGTTCACCCCTAACATTACAGGAGGCTACGAAGGACAAATCTAAAATTTGTAAATCGAGCAACCTGTATTATGATGTGCAAATCCAATACTGCCTAATTTGGCATTGCAGTTGTGGTTGAGAACTTGAGATTTGCTACAGTTCTTGTTGTGAGAAAGTGTTGTTGAAAAGTGAAAACATATTCCACCCATTTTAAAATGTTGTTTAGGGTTTGACTTCACTGAGTTTAAGAAAAATGTTGGGAATGTGTGTGGTCAACATTTGGAAGAGATAAATGCCTGGAGCCACATATTCATTTCATTAATAGAAAAGTATAAAATTTTGAATTTTATTTTGAGACATCTCAAAAAGAAAAGTGAATAGTTCATTGTTGGACGGAGGGAGTAAAATGGGTAGTGGCATGATTATAAATAATTAGATAAACAATATTAAGATTACCAATAAATACTTAGGGTATATGTTTTCATCAAGTTTTGCTACATTATAAACAAACTTCCATTTAACTTGAAGTAATTTTTTTATGAAAGTAAAAAATTCAATGAATGTTATATTAAATAGTTTTCTAAAATATAAGTACATTAGAGTAACAATAACATTCTGCATTAAAATGCTCTCAAAAACTTATTGATAATGGAATCACATTAATTTGTACATCAAATTACTTTCCACCGCTTCAAGGGTTTATAGGAGAATGATGTTAAACGTAAGTTTTAAATGAAAAAACACATTGGTTCTAGCTTTTAGGGTATGTGTATTATTACGTTTGCGCCTTGCGGTACATGTTGTTTGGTCTACATTCATTAGTTCTATGAAGATCCCACACAAACTCAATACTAAGTGCTTTGTAAGATGAACTGAATGTTAACTTCTTATATAACATTGTTATTTCCCTTATGAGGGAAAAGTGTGCAGAGGATGTTAGAGAATCAATTTTTCGAAGTATGTTTCTTTTTTAGCTCATCTTACTCAACATCTATTGATCATGATGCATGATGCTTTTTTTAACACTCAGCTGGTGTAAAGGAGCTAGCATTGGTTGGCATAGTGATAACAACAAACCTTATCTTAAGCAACGGGATTTTGCGGTGTGTTTTTTTTCTAGTTTCATCTTTCTCATATTGGTTTTAGTTTTTACATTATTATATGTTGATCTATGTAGCCAAGATTAAAGTGTTTGCATTTTGTAGCCGTTAGATATCTCACTTCATGATATGCATAACTTGATGTAGGTCTTTTGGTCTCTTTTGTTAGTTTGATATTACACCACAAGAATACAACACATGCTGCTAAACATAGAACGAATGAGTTTGCTACATGAAACAAATATAAGTATCCTGAGCTCATGCACTAAAATTGCCATTGCACCACTTTTCTTTCATGCATCGAGATGCTCATCAATATCAAATGTTTATTTATCTTTTAACAACTTTAGTCTACCCCATTTTCAGCGTAACATGATTTCTATTTTAAGTTTCCAACACCATGATATTATGCATTGACACCACATGTATGAGAAGTGTTTCCCCACAAGTCTAATTGTTAGCAGTGTTAGACGATGACGAGCATGAGAAGTAAAACTCGACACATGAGTAGCGCTAGTTCCAAGTGATTTCACACGTTGCCATGTTGGTTGTCTCCTCGGAGTTATCCCCATGCAATTGAGTGAATGCTTATCCATAAACTTGTAGTTTAACTTGCCATGCACATATCCTATTAGTGGGATGTGGCTCTGAAAAAACAAGTGCAGAATAGTGATTAGTGGACCACAGATAATTGTACGTCGCGTACTGTGCTTCTGAAGGTATAGAAAATGAGTGATAAATACAAGAGGATTAACTGGAGTCCTAGATGTCACACTCCACCAGATCATATCACTCGTATAAGTTTTGTAGGTATTGTTTGGATATCAAAAATAGTTGTGGGCTAGAAAAAAATCTAGTATCCTCCAAGCAGAGTCTATCTAGAGCTTGCCTCATTAGTAAAAGACAACTCGTAAGTGGAATGCAAGTGTCAGAATTATACGACGTCAAATGTGCTATGAACATTTCTAGCCATAATACAAAATTGAGGACTGTGTGTCTTCTCATGTAAATATAGGCCAAACCTCCCGTCTAAGTCTGCGACAATAATTGTTACCATTAGAGAAAATGACAAGTGCAAGGAGAAGAACCATGGTATGCTGATATCAGACATACCATGTTGTCTTCTCAATCTCAGAAAAACTCAAACGGGACGCTAATGACTACTTCTGGGAAGTCTCCTATGTGTTTGCATGAACATTCATCACTAATTCGGTCACAGTGCCGCCATGTCCAATGCGTAGGGAACATGGAAACTCTATAGTGAGAGCCAAACTTGATACCACCTGCAGTTGCAATAATCTCTTCCAGGCTATGCCCCCGATGAAAACAATGATGTTGTCCCAATAGCCATAATCTTTGAGTAGGCCCTCGTCAATCAGTCACAGGGCCCCTTAAGGCCTCGGTGTCTCCCGAGGCACTCAAATCTCTAAGATGCATGCGATGTAGTGAATGGAAGTTATAGTCTCTGCAATAGCATATGGATCATCCAGTCAATAACAAACAATTAAGAATCACTATTGCTTTCCCTCATTTTTGGGAAGGTTTACAAGGAACACGTCAAACTTTATCATGGTTTTCATGTAAAGGCGTCAAGAGAGTTCAAAGAGGGGGACCAAGTTCTAATGTATAATCCTCAATTGAAAAATTGAACTCGAGGTGGTCACTTGGGACTCACTTCCTTTCACTTTTGAAGTTTTGAGAAGGTTTTTCCGTATGGAACAACTGAGCTAAGGGGCAAGGATGGGAATTTCAAGATTAACGGTCAGCAAGTGAAGAAATGTTTTGGAGTTGTAGTCTTAAGGGAAAAGGCGACGGTCTTCCTAAAGAAATGTAAAAGATAAAGAGAGATCTCTTGGCGTCAAGCTAATGATGTTAAAAAAGCACTAAATGGGAGGCAAAGCATATAAAAAAAGCGAAAGCATGAGCGCTTCTTAATTGTTTGTTACTCGTTGCAGATGGCAAACATGGATGATCCATATGCTACCATAGCTTCCCTTCACTACATCGCATGCATGCCAGAGATTTGAGCTTTAGGGAAGACACATGGGCCTTGGCCCCGCTATTGACCAGTGTAAGATAAACATGGTTATTGGGACAAAATTATGAGTCTCATTTGAGGCATAGCGTGAGAGAGATTATTAAGACTGAAGGTGGTATTGAGCTTCACCCTCATTATGCTCCTTGCACATTGTAGCCGAGATAATGACGAATGTTCATGCAGATACCACATTGTCATTTTCCTTGGTGGGAAATGACTTCACAGTCACTATCATTGAGCTCTATAGGAAAAGACGTAGAGTCCTCATTTTCGAGCTTTGGCTAAAAACATCCGTACCACATTTGATGTCCCGTAGTTTTGGAACTTAAATTCCACTTCTAAGTTGTTTGTTGCTAATGAGGCTTGCTCCACCACTGCTTAAAAACACCCTGCATTGAGATACTGAATTTTTTTCTAGCCCACAACTATTTTGGATGCTCAAACAATACAAACTGAATTTTTACGAGTGATAGGATCTTCTTCTGGAGCGTGACATCCAGAATTGAGGTTAATTTTGTTGTATTTATCACTGATTTTTTATGCATTCATACCTATGGTACGCGGTGTACGATTGTCTGTGGTTCACTAATCATTATTATGCACTAGTATCTTCATAACCATATCTCACTTCCAAGATATGTGCACGACAAATTCAACTACAAATTTATGAATGAGTATTCGCTCCATTGCGTAGGAATACCTTCAAGGAGACAACCGATAGAGCAGCGTGTAAGTTCACTTGAAATTAGCCCATCATCCATCCAGGATCGTCGAGTTTTACTTATCATGCATGTCTTCATCTAGCACTGCTAACAATTAGACCGGTGGGGCTACCATTAGTGCTCGCCACTTTCAAGGAGTATGCACAAGCATTTTATGAGTTCTGGCAACATAGAGTTTCTTGATGGGACGGTGAGTTCCAGCGAACATATTTTCACCAGATTTCAAGGGCACTACAATCACAATGTGTTAGAGAGGGTGACATTCTCACACGTGTTAGAGAGGCTGTTTGTTTCAGCCTCTTAATGGTTCAGATGTCTGAATGGTTAAGACATTTGCCTCTGAATGGTTAAGTATTATACAAAGTCTGAATGGTTAAGACCTCTTATCTGAATTAATCAGACATTTGCCTCTGAATAGTTAAGCAATGTACTAGCTCTTAATGGTTCAGACCTCTTACTGGTTCCGCACTTAATGGTTCAGACCTCTTACTGGTTCAGCACTTACCTCTAACTGCGTGAACAATGTGGAGCATCTATCCAATCCCCACTTTGTCACACACGGACTAGAGATCAATGATCCACGATGATTCTTTCTTGATTTTTACTCTTATGCTTTATTTGATTTAGGTTGTTGCAATTTTGACTTGTTTTGGAATGGACGTTTTCATGAACATCTTTGTGAACGATATTTGGGGAAGTAATTGTGCGTAATGCCCTTTTCCCCAAATGCTATGCTTATTCCATATTTCAATCATCTTTTTGTTCTAAAAGTGTGAGGACAACTTAGTATTTGCATGTGATGTGTTCAATCACAACTCAAATTTCCAAACCTTTATAACTGTGGTGGTGCAATTCGGTTTATGTGTGTGGATAATAGAGTTTTGGTTGGAACTATCTTTAGGAATATTATTATCTATACAGTTGGAAGAAAATTAAATGAGACTGACACATAATTCCTATTTTTTTTGATTTATTAATTTTTTAGATTTCACCTTGAAAATTGGAAATTTCAAACTTTTTTTCAAACTTATATTTTGCACTCATTTTTTGAGAATTTTGGACAAAATCGGGGGATCAGGGTCTAGACCTGGTAGTCAAAATCACGAGTTGGATCGCACGATCTTACGATTTTGAGGATCGCTGTAGGGTGTGGGGTCTGAATTGCAAGAAATATCATGGATTAATGTAAATCGTTTGGATTGGCGTGGTGGATCGTAGGATCGTGGGCTTGCCTGGGATTGGCGATCAATTGAATTCAGTTTTTAAGTTCCGTAATTTCAAACGCCAAGTCAAGCCCCTTTGGTTTTTACGCTCTGACCCTTCCGACTATTCTAATTATATATATTACTGTCTAATTATACGCATTAATGTCTAATTAGACATTTACTCACACACAAATACATACGAATCCTTCTATTTTCTTATTGGGCTTAGAGTCTAGTAGTCGCAAGTTGCAATTCCTCTACTTTTAAGTTTGTGTTAACTTCTCATCACAATTTTTTTGCCCAGGTATTTTTTTCTTTTTATTGATTTTTTAAAATATGTTTTTACACCATTCTTGCTTCTGGCAGTCACAATTAATTCCAGCCCAAATTGTCAACCCAAATCGTTGACCCAGGTCACCTAACTGCTTAGCCCACTTCACTCGAGTGCCAAACGAAGCTGACGCTGCAATTCGAGCTTCATTTTTTCCAAAGCCGGTGCAACAACTAGCACTCCCAAACCGTGTATAGCCGATTTAAGAATATAAGCTTGAGTTTTTGGTTGAATTGGTTCCTTGACACGCTTGTCTATGAATGTGAAAAATAATTTAGACAACAAATATTAGCACATTAATAATGACTAGAGATAGATTAAATTAATGGATTAGTTGTGACAGAACGTTTCAGTAGCCAAAGTTATTAATTGAATTAATAGTCCAACTAGTTAGAATATTTGAATAATACCCACAACCTGAAATAAATGCATATTCCTTTTTTATCATTATCATTTTAATCAAACTGATAATCAAACAACCCAATCGAATTTAGAAGACTTTTGATACCAATTAATACAATTTGTCTAACTTATTTTAATAGAAAGTTTCCCTTGAGCCAATCCTTGAGAATACGAGTCGGGAATAAACTGACCCTTTCCTGGGAAGGTTGACTATGGCTTAACTTAGTTATCATAGGGTAAAAAATATTTGGGATAGAAGTAATTTTTTAATAGAAAGTAAAAAACATTTTTGGGAACAAGAAGTGAAAGTGATGAGGAAAAAGTTTCAATTTACAACATATTTACACTGATGATGAGGAAAAATTGCCTGGCATGATTATGCAATTTCACATAATATAATTTCAACGATGCTGATGAAGTAAACTTTGAATACCTTTTCCACATGGAGGTTTATCAACTAGAGTAGCAGCTGTCAGCCATGCTTATCAAATCCCTTATCCCTAGCTAATGTAATGAGGAGGAAAATGGTATCACCTTAAAGGAAAGATGTCTAAAAATGTTCTCTTATCATTGCATTTTTTCCCTCTCATGCTTGGTTGTTATCTGTAGTTTGAGTGATAGATGATGCTATACCAATTTTGGTTCTTGATACATTTTCTTTGTTGTCTTACCATTGCTCTTCTGACTAGTACTCCGTAATTAATTAAATAATTTATTTATTTATTTATTATGTTCAAGGCAGTTTGTTATTTGAATAGTTATGATGTGGATTTCAAAGGAGGGATCTTTCATTTCCAGGATGGTGAGCCAGAAATTATCTTGCCCATGGCTGGTGTAAGTAATCACCGAATCTCCCTTTTATTATATTTCCATTTAAGACTTTCAACATATTTAATATCCGTTCCCTGTTTTCAATGTTATGAACTTCTTTGAACTCTTAAATAATTCAGTGCCATTGTACTGTATAGGTTCGTTTTAGTTTTCTTAAAAGGCTGGGTTTGAGAATTCGGATGGCTAAGCAATAATAATTCTTTTCTTGAACTTTGAAATTATCTTCTGAGCCACGTATCTAGCTTGTTTTTTTGTCCTTTTTCTTGTTATTGATTAGTAGTAAACAATAGCAGGATGTTGTTTTGTACACAGCTGATGAGCAAAATATCCACTCTGTTGATGAGGTAACATTATTTTCTGCCTTGTTTCAGTTAATATTGAGTTGTTTACATTCTCTTTTCTTATCTATTTGCACTACTCTATGCACTCATAAGTCATAACATGGACATTTATGTCTCTTTGCCTTTGTCAATGATCTTTGGCATAGTGTAATGATGTCCTGTTTTACCACTATTCAATGCTTAATATGCTCTAATTGGCTGCTATCATTTGAATAGTCCAATTCTATCTCGCAACCCATAAAACTTTTCAACAGCTAAAACTCAATAATTTCAAGAACTTATTGATCAATCTATATTGCTTTATGCTATCCTTAGAACTCAGAAAATGGCATGAAAATGTAAAAGAATGCCCATGGGAATGTCTCTTTTTCTTTATTTGGTTTTACTTGGAAAGTATGAAGGAAAGTTGAATTTGATTAATGTTTCTAAAATTTCACATGCACTTTAAATGAGATTTGAACAGATGTCTGGCATTGAATTGCTGTCTTTGAAGCAATTTTTAATTTCCCCCACATTTCCTGTCATTTCTGTTTATGTTTATTGTCTTTAACTCTTAGGGCTCACTCCTTTTCACTCCATGCCTATTTTATACAAGCAGGTAACTGATGGGGAACGCATAACACTTACTCTGTGGTTCAGCCGCGATGCATCTCATGACGAAGATTCCAAACTCATTTCATCCCTCTCAGAAATTTCGGTGGATGATTTTGACGACAAATGCAATTCCGTTTTACCCATTCCAGCACCCATTAACATGCAATGGTTTCCTCCAGAAGAATCCTCAAAGTTTTCTTCGGGATTCGATATAAGATGTGGAAGGTTGCATGTCCTTGGCTTTGAGCTTTACTCATCTGAGGGCATAATTTGCGGCTCGCCATCGGAAGATTCGTCTAGAAATCTGTTAGAACTACTTCAAGAGCCTCTCGTGTTGGCAAAAATGGACGAGTTGTCTGCAAGCACATTTGCAAATGCTACACATGCCCTTCAGGTACCTGGATAATTCTTTGCCATCTTCTATGCTTGTTTTTTCACTAGACTGGAATTTGGAGGGTTGCAATGTCCCACACTGGTGGCAATATCATGAAGTGTTTATTATGGAAATCTGAAAATGACAGGGAAAGGAAATAGAGGATGTATTTGGTAGGAAAAATTTAGGGAAAAACTAGAACTACGTCCATCCACTAAGTACTCCTTATATTTTACTCCTCCGTTCCTAACAAATTGTCCTCTTTTGAATGACGTGTAAAATCTCGTCTCTTTTAAAATGATTTTATTTACAAATTGGTATAGAAATAAATAATACAACTTACATATTTAAAAACTACATCAAAAGTTCTACAAAACAAGTGATGACATGACTATTTTACTTTATCAAATGATCAATGAAAACACACACGCAAGCATAAGCGATTGAGAGTCTGAAATAGTAGAGAGACCAATTATTTTGGGACAGAGGGAGTAATTATAAAAAGACTAAGCATTCTAAATACATGTTAATTTTTGTTTTAAAAAAATTTAAGTTTGATTTTGCTTTTTATTTTTCAAGGTAAAGCGAGACATTTAAAACCCATTTTTCTCCCTTCCTGCCATTTTCTGCATTCCAAACATAGTGAAAACAATGTATGCTAAATGCAAGTAAATATCTGCACTAGCACTCAACTTTCTCATGTATATTCTTGAGTTTGAACTTTGAATGATATTATAACTGCAGCATGTTGTTCGTCTTCTTGCATTGAAGGGGAAATCTCCTTTTTCTGGTGTTATTGTTAGAGAAGTATTATGAACGAATACACTTTGATTTTACAATATCAATCTTGCTACCCAAGCCCCTAATTAATTGGGTTTAACGTTCTGCCTTCGACAATTATGTGACACTTTTTCCTCTCAATTTAGGGCATTTAGATTTTGTAGTCATGAGTGAATTAAGTTGTTTGGCAAGCACACTTGATTCATGGTCTTTAAACAATAGTATTTGACAATGTTTTTGAAAATAATTTTGTGCTCATTGTTTTGGGTCAGGTGGTGCTGTTTTATTGTTGGAAGTTCTTAGATTTGAAGACTGAACTCAAAGTGGCTTCTTCTGCTGAGGTGAGTCTGGCATCTGAAACACAAAGGGCACACACAAACCATTTGAAGCACATCTTTGTGAAGGATCCCCAAATGGCAGAGACATTTTTTGGCTTCCGAACGCGTCTCAACGGCGACCAAAACAAATTCGATTGGTCTGGTTTTTCTGCTGCAGTGTCTGAATGGGAAGCCTATACTTGCAGGTTACACAATGAACTGCTTCTGAGTTTATCTCATTGGAGAACTCATCAGTTCATTTTTTGTTTTCCTCATGGGAAAGTTGAATAGCTTTGGTTAACACAGCATGTGCTTTCAACTAGTTGGCATTGTATGGTTTTTCAAGGGAAAACTCCCCTATTGTAAATGAGTATGAAACTCCCCTATTTTTTTTGTTCATTACTTTTGCAAGACACACACTCAAGGTGAGAAATTAAGAGCGGAAACGTTAAAATAGAAAATGAATCGAATTAAGATACATCATTTTTTAGTTTTTACTTCGTACCATATTATTGTGACGAGGCGCGGAAGATGCTGAAGCAAGAAGCTTGGCTCATGTGATGAAATTGTGATCAAGACATTGAACTCAGCGGGTTGAAAAGGTAGTGCTACAAAGGTTGACAATTGAGGAAAAAAGTTATCATGTTAAGTATTTTTACCGTTGTAATGTACTAGTTCTCTAGCTCGTGCGCTGCACAGACAAAATTTTGAGTCAGTAAAAGAAAATAAAAAATAAATTTATAGTATATATAAAGACAACACGACGAAATTGTATTCAATATAAACATTAACACTACAAGAAAACGCAAAAAAAACGACGGATTATAGCGACGGAATGCAATTCGAAGCTAACGACGATGGATTCAGCGACGAAATTTTACGCCTACCAAAATTAACGACGGAATCAGTATTCCGTCGCTCTTTATTTGCGGGGGGTAGTGCGCGGCATATTAGACGACGGAAATAACGACGGAATATTTCCGTCGTTAGTTTGGTGACGGAAAAATTCCGTCGGTAAAAGAATATAATTGAAACGCTGCGTTTTGAGCTGGCGACGGAAAAATTCCGTCGCTAAATCCGTCGCCAAAAACAGATCTAAAAACGGGAACTCCTCTCAGTTTCTCCGATTTCGCAGACAGAAACCACAAAGAGTTGTTGTCTAGTTTCGTCTCCTCCGCGACGCCTTCCGCCACCATCATCCGCCGGTCGCTGTCCGATCATCTTCTCCGTCCGCCACAATCAATTGCCGGTCGTCTACCCATCTTCCGTCACCGTCCACTTGAAATCTCAGGTTTTATTTTTCATTTTTTCATCTTTTATTCAATTTCAATTTCTGAATTAGTTTGTTTTTAATTATAATTGTATTGCCTACATTTGGGGTTTTTAATTTTATAATTATTTTAGATTAGGGTTTGTTTTTCAAAATTTAGTCATTTGTTTTAAAAAAAAATTAATTATATTCTTGAAAGTTTTAGTGAATGAATATCGTGCTTATTAATCATTTATATATTGTAACTTTTATATGAGGAATGAATTTATGCTAATTAATTGTTTAATAGCATATTTTGGATATTATTAATGTTATATGAAGATTGTATATGTATTATGTATGTTATTGAATATTGAGGTTGTTCCATTTATATTTTTAATGTTTTTTTTTAATTCTATAACTTAATAGTATGTTAATTTTATTTTTATGAATTTCTAAGAATAGTGACTTTCACAAAAATCGGAATTGGATGTATAAAAGACTTGGTAGTTCTTGTTTTATAAATACAGATTGGGTTTTATAAATACAAATTGAGTTGCGCCAAACTTAGATTCAAGTCTGGAATGTGAAATTTGCACATGTTAAAATTTCTATTCAAAATTTCTATTGAATTTCTATTTGTATATTTGTATTAAATGTTGTTAAACAGTATTAGAAGACGGCAAAGTTCTTGGCATCCTCCAAGCAAAACAAGAAAAATGGTCGTGATGGTGACGAGAATGCCCCTGCTAGCGCCACGCACACCGGTGGTCTGTTGTCTTTTCGCGAGTCTCAAGCACGCCTTGTAAGTATTATTAGTAACATTATTTTCACTTAAATGTTTTAACTGACATGTTTACACTTATAAAAGTATTATATACTAATATTGAGGAATGTATAGTGAAGACAAAAAACAAAATTATAGGTTTTGAAAGACTTCCTTGTATACTACGGAGTATATTTCTAAATCAAGTTAAAAATAGCCCTTTGGACCGCTTCGTGCATGAACCAGTTCGAACCGGTGTGAACCGGTAAGAACCGGCCGGTTCACCCGGTTGAACCAGTTTTTTTTTTTTTGCAAATTTGGCCAAAATGTTTTCTCCTCCACTAAAGTTCGAACCCCTAACCTATTGGTTGTTATTCAAAGCTATGAACTAACCAAGCAAGAACATTTTTTGTTACTTATTGGTTCTAAGTAGTATATATATTTCTTAATTAAAAGAATAAATATGAATTAAAAAATTTCTTTATTTCTTAAACTAAAATTCTTAACATTTAAAAATAGAAATAATTCTAATACGGAGTACGTGTCACGAAAAAAATTCATTTTAATATTTTTGGATATTAGGCAAAATATATAAAGAAAAATAAAATATCATTATTTTACAAAACTTTTAATTTATTTCTCGATACGTAAATTTTATTTTAAATATAAATTGAGTAACAAAATAAGTTAGAGTGTTTAAAATTTCAATCAAATATCATAAAATTTTATGTACATATGAAAGAAGTTATTTTGATTTTATACAAAATATGTATGTGTGTGTGTGTCTATATATATATATATATATATATATATATATATATATATATATATATATATATATATATATATATATATAAAATATGTTTAAACCACTGGTTCGACCACCTGAACCACTGGTTCGACCAGTGAACCAGTGAACAAGTACCCGGACCGGTTCGGTCCCCGGTCCGGTTTTTAAAACTATGACAATAACATAATCAATTAAAATGTCAAAAGTCAAACATAAAGCTTGAGGGTGAGATGTAATTAGAAAATAACCCTAGAAAAGCAGTGTTTCTTTAATGAAAACATGTACAAAGCATTCGACATTATCAAAGTCTCATCACACGCTTCTCAGTGTAAAAGTGATATCATGTTTTTATTATTTCCCATAAATTGTTACACTTTACCATAAGTATTTATTTAAATTAGTATACTTTCCCATAAACTTTTAATCTTTCTCATAATTTTTATACTTTCTCATAAAGTATTTATTTAAGTTACATTTATCCATAAACTCTAACTCTTTCTCATAGACTTTTACACTTTCTCATAAAATTTTATTTATTGGGGAAGGTTCCCATGACATTGGGAACCAATGTCATGGGATGACCTAGGGGCGCTCCGGTGCCCCGTTCGTTAACTTGACGGTTCCTACTCTCCTAACCTCCCGGTAAACCCCCCACTCTTCCCTGACCCGAACACACCCCCCACCCCCTTCAATTGCACCCCACAAGTCGATTTGGACTTTGGAGTCAAATTTTGGAGACTGAGAAATGTGCAAAGATCTGTGACAATTAAAATCTAGGTCTTAAAAAAATTATTAATTTAAGAAGTACAGGGAAGATCTAATGTGCAGAACTAAGGGGGATGTATTCAATCACGATTCTAAAAGATTTCAATACATTGTTTAAAGTCTATGGATTCTGTGACGATGCATGACGAAGATTGAACAACTCATTTGCATTTCGGGGGTGACGACCTTGACCTCCAAAATCTTTGAGATGATATCGGACACCTCGAAATGGTGCTAAAAATTGTCGTCGATTAGCAAATCCACAGTCAACCAAAAAATATTTTCCTGAAATAAAAGTAGGATGACATATACTCATAACAAATATTTTCATAAAAAAAGAAATAAATTGGCAATAAAATAAATAATGTACTTACCTTGAGGCACTTCAAGTCCATTTCTTCTAGATAAGGCATCACTCAACATTTTTGAATCATGTGCAGATCCTTCCCACCCACTAAGCACATATATGAATTCTAGATCAAAGTTGCAAGCAAGCTGCCAAAACGTTTTGAGATTGAATACCATGACGATTACGGTAGCTACTTACTTGACGACCTTTTATCATTGCAGGAATATGAGTGCCATCAATAGCACCAATGCAATCCTGTAAAAAAATTTGGAAACAAATTTGTAGTCCATACATTTAAAGATAATAGCAAACAAATTTGTAGTCCATACTTTTTTTTAAAGAAAGCATACCTTAAAGTAGGGATAAAATCTTGTGTTGCCTCTTATTTTAGAAGGCACAGCAAATCCGGGCTTGACCATCATTTGTGGTGCTATAGTGTTTAATGCCTTCAAAACTTTGTTAAAGTTTTGACTAGTTGTGAAATGTGAACGACCAAATCTTTGGCGAACATTACAATACCGATCATTGTGACCCACAATGAGTAGAAATGTTGCTATCATTTCTTCAACACAAATATACCTTGTATCTTCTAAAGGCGTACCTTCTCTGATAATTGTACATAGCTTAAGAAACACATCAGGATACATTCTATACAACTCTCGAAAACTTTGTGGATCTTCTTTCAACACTCTATGTATATAATGATATCCTTTTGTAGTTACAGAGCGACGTTTAAGGGAACCTTCCACACGTTGAGGCATGTTAATTAGAGCCTCTCTTAAAACAATCATTGTTGCTTGAATGCCCAACAACAAGTACTTGATAGTTGCATAAAATTCTACTTCAGTTTCTTCATCTATTTCTTCTCTTCTTACCACTTCGTCTTCCATTTATCTATATGAACAAGCACATTTAAAATAAAATTAATTGCCAAACTAATATACACAGCATAAGTGAAGGGATCTGGTGCGTGATTTGAGATATTAAGAGGTCTGTGCCTACAATGACCACATTTTCCCATTATAGAAAAGGTACTAGATATATGAAAGAGGTTTGTGTCTACAATGACCACATTTTCCCATTTTCATATCAACCGCTGAAAGTGCATGACACCTACCCAACATATCAAAGTTGACCTTACTGGGCATTTTTTTTTGGGGGGGGGGTTTGTTTCATAATTTCTCTCCTTTAGTATGGTTTCTTAGTTCAATTCTTTTACTTATTATTGATCGAAATAATGTTCATTTGTTCAATTTTATCATTTTTGTTGTTGTTTATTCTGCTCTTTTTAAGTGAACTCAACCAGGCATAATGCATTTTTCTCAGGAAAAAAGTACTACGGAGTACATACGCCAATGTAAAAAACAGAACAACCAAGCACAGCAGAGAGCACTTATAATGGCCATAAATATCATTTCCCAACTGGAATAATGCATATAAAATTGAATCCCAAAACAAACAAGACTAACCCACAAAGTTTCAAAGTTCATCTTCCATCCGGTGCATAATGAAATCTCGAGAAACTATTTCCAAAATAATCTTTGAAATAGGTTCTAACAATTCTCTAAAAGAACAACTCTTCTTGACATTTCTTCAAACACATAGAGGGTATAACCATATTAACCTAGAAATTTATAATTGAACACACCAAAAGAGAATAAAAAAGTCAACATTCTCAAAAAACACACGCAAACACAAGTAGAAGAAGAAGGCAAAGGGGACAAAGATGAAGAAGGATGGTGTTAAAAGGACATACCTGGAGAGATGGAGAAAAGAGGAAGAAAGGGAAGGAGATGAGGAGTAAGAGGCGGAAGCTCTACCGGAAAAGCAGGAGATCGAGAAGATGAAGATCCGCCGGCGGAAAAGATGGAGAAGATGAACCGAGAAAGAAACCAGCTCTGGAGTCTCACAAAATCCCTGGCCTTTTGAATGGATTTGGAAGCAATATCTGTCAATATTTCAATATCTGTCAATATTTCAATATCATTAGATTTAGAAAAATTTTTTAAAATCTCAATTGAATATCTCAAAATTTTAAATGACTTTTCAAAATCTTGATTGAATACTCATTGACTTTTAAAATCCAAAAAAATCCTGCAGAGTCGTGATTGAATACACCCCCTAAATAAGATCTAGACTCAATTTGTAATTTCCAATTTGTAATTCTTTGTATTTTTTTAAAACATTATATATTGACCAAAATACTTTCACAGACTTAAATCACTTTATATTTAAAAAAAGAAAGCAAAAAATTGAGTAAAAATCGCTAATATTTTTGTTGCATTGACATAATTTTTGAAATAATACGGGAGGAGAATAATCATTGTATTTTTAATGTATTGTAAAATTTATATTTCTTATCATAGGATTGCTAATTTATGTTTTCATACGTTTAATAATGTGGGAGAAAAGAGTCAATTTTTAATCAATGCATATTTTTATGTGTTTACACATATATTTAGCATATAAAAATGTCTTATACTTTGAGATATCAATAGAGAGACAAAATATAAAAATAAAAAAATAAGAAAAATTATACATAACGGATCGAATACACAGATAAACAGTTATTTAAACGGATGTAAACGCAGAGCGAATTATAAACGAATCGGATGTATGATTACCAAACTCATATCCGTTTAGCAATCAGATATTCACTTGTCCCTCAATAACTTTTGCTCTAACACTCCTCATTAACTTGTAATAGCTTTTGAGTTGATTTAATTCATACTTGAGAACAGATTGTTGCCCTTCTAATTTTTCGATCTTCTTTTGTGATTTTGAAAGATCCTCCTTGAGTCTATTTTGTTCGACAACAAGATGATGATTCTCCATGACAGTTTTCTTGTTGACTAGTAGAAGTTCTACCCACTTCCCTGGGGGAATAGCTAATTCTTCTATTGTGTCAACTTCTCTGTTACTTTTTCGTGTCATCTTCTGTGTTATATTAAGAATAACTCAAAAGTTAAATATGTACCAATTTTGAAAAATGAAATGTAAGATAACTATCTGATATTAATAAAAATTTGTTTTAAAATATAAATTTATACATTAAAAGCGAGCAACAAGAAAAAAAACATAACTTCATTTTTATCACATTATTTTTCTTATCAAAGTACATAATTTTCGTTCAAAACCCAATATTCGAGTTCAATCATTTCGGGATCGGCCCATTTTTAATGTGTCATTTCGATTTCAATATTCTTCGAATGCAATCAAAACCCCCTTTGTTCAAGACCCAATAGTTTTGAGTTGGATTCCGAAGTGAGAACAGGTCGAATCATTTTTTGTGAGTACTGCGTTAGTGTGCACGAAACATATGGTTAATCCAAAAATACACAGACAGGCATCTAATAGCAACAAGTGCTCCAAGACAAAACACAAGAAAACATTGATAGCCATGGCCATGGCATTCATTGATAACTCCAAAAAGCTCTCTCCCTTTTTTTCTTCATCTTCTCAATCATTCATTTCTTCCCCTTCTTCTTCTTCTTCTTAAATTTTTCGCTGTCTCTTTCCATAAATTCTTCTCCGCTTTTGATTCTGGGCTTCCAAATTCTTGCTGAATTCGCTCGCTTCTCAGTTCAGATTGATAGAATTTCATTCTTCTTTCTTCCATGGCGTCCAAACATTCTGCGGTTGAACTGGCCTCTGCTGCAGAGGACCCGCCGTTAAAGAGGCGGCGGCATTTCGCTTCCGCGGTGGTTTCCGGCGAGACAGGGGAGGAGGAGGAAGAGGTGGGGATTGCGGATACGGAGTCTGCGGGTCTCCGGTTGCTGGGACTTCTGCTGCAGTGTGCGGAGTGCGTCTCGGCTGATAACCTCGAGGAAGCGAGCGAGCTCCTGCCGGAGATCTCGGAGCTGTCGTCGCCGTTTGGATCGTCAGCCGAGCGAGTCGCGGCTTACTTCGCCGAGGCTCTTTCGGCGCGGATTGTGAGCTCCTGCCTCGGCGCCTTATCGCCGCCGCCGCCGGCTGTGAAATCGCTAACCCTAACTCAGTCCCGGCGGCTCTTCGCCGCCTTGCAGAGCTACAATTCCGTCAGCCCGCTGGTGAAATTCTCCCATTTCACCGCCAATCAGGCGATCTTCCAGGCCCTGGACGGCGAGGATCGCGTCCACGTCATCGACCTCGACATCATGCAGGGCCTCCAGTGGCCGGGGCTCTTCCACATCCTCGCCTCCCGCGGCCGCAAAATCCGCTCCATCCGAATCACCGGCGTCGGATCGTCCACCGAGCTCCTGGAGTCCACCGGCCGGAGACTCGCCGAGTTCGCGACCTCACTCGGCCTCCCCTTCGAGTTCCGGCTTCTCGAGGGGAAGATCGGGAACATAACCGACCCGAGTCAACTCGGCGTCGAAACCGGAGAGGCCACGGTGGTGCACTGGATGCACCACCGCCTGTACGACGTCACCGGCAGCGACTCCTCCACCCTGAACCTCCTGACTCGCCTCCGGCCGAAACTGATCACCGTCGTCGCGCCGGATCTAATAACGGCTCGCGGCGGGACCTTCCTCGGGCGGTTCGTGGAGGCTCTCCACTACTACTCCGCCCTGTTCGACGCGCTAGGGGAGGGATCGGGTGCGGACAGCGCGGAGAGGCACACGGTGGAGCAGCAGCTGCTGAGCCGCGAGATCAAGAACATCGTCGGCGGCGGCGGTGGGGCGGGGAGGTGGTACGATGACCTGGAACGGGTCGGGTTTAGACCCGTCTCTCTGGAGGGCAACCCGGCCGAACAGGCAAGCCTCTTGCTGGGGATGTTCCCTTGGAAAGGGTATACTTTGGTGGAGGATAAGGGGTGTTTGAAGTTGGGGTGGAAAGACTTGTCCTTGTTGAAGGCCTCCGCATGGCGACCGTCCGATTAGGTTCATCTTAACCGTTAGATTTCAATCAACATTGGAAGAAAGAAGTTGGAAGTTTTCTTTGGTTTTCTATTCTTTTTAGAGAGTGTAATATAATATTGTGCATTTTTTCTTTATTCTTTCTAAGTTAATACTCCTTTCATTTCAATTTATTCTTTTTATTTAAAATTTTTATTTAAAAGAACATGTGAAATTTATCTTTTTTTTCAAAAAAGATCTTATAATATTCATCATTCCAGCTTAAAAGTATCTGAAATTTATTTTATTATATAAATATGCAGTAGAACTTAATATAATTGACGATAAAAGTTACTCGATTTGATTTGAAAAAAATCAAATAGATGAATATTCTAGAATGAATTAGTATACATGTATTAGTTTTGATTTATTTAAGACAATGTTATTGGCTCCATCCTATAATGTAAGCAATAATTATTATTTTGATCTTTCGATAACTTTTGTTTGTTTACTCGTTCTGGTTGATTATTTGATAAAAAAAATATTCTTGTCGCATATTGTTTTGTACTCCCTCGTTTCCAAAATATTTGTCACACTTGCTTTTTCAACAGTCGCGAGAATTTTTGTTTATTTATACGTTTTCATTGACACCTCTTATTTCGAAAAACTTTTCATGTAGTTTTTTGATATGTAAATTTTATTTTTTATTTCTATACATGTAAATAAAATGAATTGAAAAAACTTGATATTTTACCTCGATAATAGAAGTGTGACAAATATTTAGGGACGGAGGGAATAAAACTTTCGATCTATTTTTGAACGGTGTAATTTTTACGCAGTACTTTTTATTTACCTACCAATTTATTAATAAATAATTTTAAAAGAGATATACTTTGCACATCGTTCAAAATGTTGTTTACATTTTGGGATGGAGGGAGCATAGTTTAAAAAACCATTTCGACCAACGAACCGATCAAAGCACTGACTCATTGGTTCACTGGTCGAATCAGTGGTTTGAGTGGTTGAAGCGGTGGTTCACACACACACACACAGATATATATATATATATATATATATATATATATATATATATATATATATATATATATATATATATATATATATATATATATATATATCTGTGTGTGTGCGCGCATGTAAGTTGAGCAAAATTATAATTAACAAAATAAAATTTACATATTTTAAAATAATATTAATAATTTTAGAAAATAAGAGATTGTTTTAATTTTTCAAATAAGTTAACTCAATATTTAAAAAAACACTCAAATGAAATATTTGCATAGATGCATTTTGTAATAATATTAAATATATATATATGATTTAGAATTTACATTATAGACATAACAATATAGTTTTTAAAAAATAAAAAAAATTGTTAAGAATCTTTATTTTTTTAATTATTAAGTGTTTAGAAACATTAAGCTAAAGTGTAACAAAAAATATTCTAGCTTTGATGGTTTACAACTTAATTAGGTCTCTTAGGGATTGTGCGTCCGAACGCCATTTTAGATAAAAATTTTGAAAACAAAAAAAAAAATGGTTCACCCGGTCCAACTGGCCGGTTCTAACTGCTTCACAGCGGTTCAATGCATATTACGGCGGTCAGACTACCAATTTGCCGGTTCACGGTCTGAACCAGCCGACCTGATTCAGATTTTAAAACTATGAGAGGGAGTAATTTTTAGTGAGGTTTGAGAAAAAATTGTCACCATTTTGTTTGAGACTATCAAGGATTGTGTCCCAACAACATGATTTTTGTATATGGGAATAGTTTTTCGACCATGCTAGAGGTACGCCAATGAGTGTTTCCCAAAGTGCATATCAAAGATATATACACTAATATTTTGATGGTTTAGACTAGCATAAAATGCTATTGCAATAAAAAATTGTACTAACATTTTGTGTTTGTGCGTACCATCACCATAACATCACACTAATATAAATCAAAGGCACACATCTTTGGTGTATAATTTGCAAGACCGTTTCCGAGAAATTAGGGGCCTTGGACAACACTGAAAAAATAGGTAATTGTATAATAAATTCATAATGCAGTAATAAGAATAGTAAAAAGTCAAATTCATAGTCTTATATACATCTATAATTACATACTTTAATAGCTAGCCAAGAATTCGTGAAGTTTGTTAGGATTCATGATAGCAAATTGGTTGATTTAGAATTTTTTGATGAAATTTTTAAATATGTAAATTTTATTTTTTGATTCGCTACTCATTTGATAAAATAATATTTTCATATCACCCATTGTTTTGTAGAATATTTAATTTTTAATATGTAAATTTTATTTTTTATTTCTACACCAATTTTCAAATAAAATGAATTGGAAATAATTACAGTCAAACATCATAAACAATAGCAGGTAGTTTATATTGAGACGGAAAGAATAATATAAATAATTAAATAATAAATAAATATATACGGAGTATAATATATTTACAAAATAAAAAGGTAGGCCTCCTCTACAATTGGACCCTGTCCAAGTGGCCACTTTGCCCTTGCCGGCCCTGATAATTTGTGGTAAAAATGTTGAGATACGAATAACTTAAGGAGCATGCTACTGGCCTGTTTGGGAACAGCGTTAGAGATTAGCGATAGCAATGTTGGATAAAATTTTAATGGTGCAGATTATTTTGAAAACGCTAACGCTAAACGCTGCCCGTAGATAGCTTTTTCAAAACGCTAACGTTATTCCCAAACAGGCCCTACATGTACCCTAAAATTTATACCTCATTTGTACACTAAAGGTATGCAATAACATTTTGATGATTCACACTGACACAAAGTGTTGGCACATTAACAAAAATTTACGCTGACACAAAGTGTTGATGTGTTAATAAAAATTAGCATTACACCAACACAAAATGTTGGTGCATTCCTGCAGAGTACAAAATATTGGTATATACTCCCTCCGTCCTAAAACTTTCTTCCCACAGCACTATTCCAACTTCACGGGGATTTATATTTATTTGTGTTTTTTCATGGCCTATATGATAAAATAAAATATTCTTGTCACCACTTGTTTTGTTAAACTTTTGATGTAGTTTTTAAATATGTATGTTTTATTTTTTATTTCTATAACAATATTTAAATAAAATAGATTGAAAAAACTTAGGATTTTTCTTCGTTTTGCGCAACGAAAAAAAAGATATAGGACGGAGGAAGTAAATTCTTAGGGTACAAATAATTTTATCCATAACTTAATTCAATCTCGGGGTGACTGTTGGCCGTTTTACCATGTACACTTGAGGATTTTCTATTTTTTATTTTACTCCGAATCTTGTTCCAAAAATTTCGATTACTAGATCGGACCCAAATTTTGCAATGAACAAAAAAATGGACATCCTAAATTAATAGTATCAGGCTAATTGAACAATATTTTTAAAACATGTAAAACATGACTTATTTTAAGTTTTTTTTGTTTAAGTTATCCTTATAAATATTTTTATTTTGAAATAGTTCATAAACATAATTAAATGTTTTAATTTGTTAAAATAATACGTTTATTTCGTACTCAACATTTGAGTCTTGCATTTATAATTACCGACACCATTCTTAGGGTGGACAGTATGGGTGCGGTAAATCTTATTTGGCAAATGGCAATTAGGTAAAGAAGGTAACACCGTCTCCTCTAATTTGGTACCAACAAAAATTTGTAAGGAAGTCTAAGACTTTACCGAGCTTACTGGAGCATGACTTGTTTTTTTTTTACATTTCATTTAAAAAAATTAAAAACTTAATTCAACACAAATTTTTTACCTTTTCATTTTTTTAAAAAATAAATACTTAATTGAACACCACTTTTTTTACCTTTTAATTTAAAATAAAGTAAAAAACCGTAGTAATATAAAACCACTTTTTTACCTCTACATTTAAAAAAATTTAAACTTAATTTAACACCCCTATATATCCGACTTTTAGAATCATAATCGTAGTTAATATTTTTTTCCTGTACTGTTATTTTTTTGTTTTTTTGGATAAAATTTTTTTTTATTTAGTATTGTAGTTTGGTTTAAATCAATGAAATGTTATAGTATTATTATCATGTTAATTAAAGATTTACACTTTATATTTTTAATATAATTCAAAATTAATTATTAATAAAATTAATTACTAATAACATTAAATTTTCATAGAAGATTTTAAAATTAATTTTATTTATAATTATTTAAAAATGATTGTAGTAAGTTGGCGAATTGGCGTATATACACCGCCACTTGTAGTATGAAAAGTATGGAATTAATAGAATCTGATGTGGCGCAGATGTGTATGAAGGAGATGATGCAATATAAAAAAAGTATTGAGGTATATATATCATACACCCTTATATCCTAAAATGGGGCTTTGAGTGAATTATTACATCCTCAATTCTCAAATTAATTTTATTATACTGTATTTTCTTAAGAAATTTAGGAATTGGACATTTAATATGAATAAGAATATAATTTTGGCTGTTAGAATTGTGTCGGAAATAACTATCAATGCAAGATTTAGGCATTGAGTATGAAATAAATGTAAAAATCTCAATCAGTTAAAAGTGCTAATTATATTTAATGACTATTTTCAAAAAAAATATTTTTCTACTCATATTATAGACAAAATTTTGCACAGAATTTTTACAAGTATTTTCATAGAAAAATTTTGTCGGTATAATCTAGATTTACTTGCACTATTTTCAAACTTTACATTATACCGGTGAATAGTAAACGTGTTAGCAATTGTATAAATGAGAAAAAAAATAAGCCATATTTTTTTTAAAAAAAGTAGATAAACTACAAATTCAACTAATCATAAGCTAAATGTAACACAATCACTATACATTGAATATATATATATATAAATAGTTATGTAGAGTTTTTGGCACATATCTGAAGTGCATAAACATTACTTACAAAGAGTTCCCCGCACATCGTATGATCATAGTGTCCATGTAATACGCAACTATGAACATACAAACACGCTACGAGTAAAGTAGTCAATCACTCCCCGTGAAAGAACAAGAAAATGATGAAAATTAAAACACAAAAAATGCAAACGAATGAAAACCCGTTCTCCGAGAGGAATCCACAACCAGCAAAAAACACATAAGAGACAAAAGACAAAGAAAATCAAGGAATG